AAATGGTGATATTTTTTCTGAAAGATATAGCAAATCGACACTTCTCATCTACACATTACGTTCAACAATTACCTAATGAAGAGAAGCATGATATAAAATGGTTGATATATTCAAAAAGTTTGGATAAAATATTTTGCTTTTGTTGTAAGATATTCAAAAATAAGGGGATCAGAACTCAATTGACACATGATGAAGTAAATGATTGGAAACATATTGGTGAAAAAATTAAAATGCATGAAGTAAGTTATGACCACATCAATAACACGAGTAAATGGATTGAAATGAAATTAAGATTTTAAAAGAGTAAAACAATTGATAACTATGTGCAAGAACAAATCAATAGAGATAGAAAATATTGGAGACAAATATTACTGAAAATAATATATGTGGTGAAAACTCTTGATGAAAATAATTTAGCATTTCATGGAGATAGTGAGAAAATATACTAAGAAAAATAATGGTATCTTCTTAAGCATAATTCAAATGATCGCTGAGTTTGATCCTGTAATGCAAGAGTATGTTCGTCGAATCCAAAATAAAGAGATTCATTATCATTTTCTAGGATACAAAATTCAGAATGAGTTGATACTTATGTTAGCAGGTGCGATAAAATAAATAATCACTGAGAAACTCAAAAATTCTAAATATTTTTCTGTTATACGTGATTGCACTCTAGATGAGTCACGAAGAACAAATATCTATAATATCGAGGTATGTAGATATTTGAGCAAGTCCAGTGAAGGTTGAAGAATAAAAGGGTTTTTATTGGTGGATGATACATTTGGTAAGAGACTTTTAGATGAAATTGTGGGTGCTTTGAATAATCTAAAACTTGATATTGATGATGTAAGGTGTCAAGGCTATGATAATGATGCTAACATGAAAGGAAAACATAAAGGATCCTGGAGCATTATACAGTCCTTGTAAGTGTCATAGTCTTAATCTTGCACTTTGTGACATGAGCACTTGTTGTTCAAAAGCTAATTCTTTCTTTGAGGTGGTGCAACGTATATATACTTTTATTTTCTTCATCTGATAAACGATAGAAAATTTTCAAAGAGAATGCAAATGGCCTTACCCTTAAGCCTTTTTCACAAACTTGTTGGGAAAGTCATATTGAAAGTGTTAGAACGATAAGATTTCAAACTTCACAGATAAAAAAAAGTTTTATTTCAATTGGCAAATGTTGATGATCCTAAAACAAAAAGTGAGGCGGAGTGTTTGGCAACATATGAAATTGAGAATTTTGAATTCTTACTTGGAATGATTATTTGGCTTGAAGTGTTGAATAATGTTAATAGAGTAAGCAAACATTTGCAAGAAGAAGACATGCATATTGATGTTGCTATAGACCATTTAAAAGGGCTCATTTCATTTTTCAAAAGCTATAGAGAAACTGGGTTTGAATCGACCATGGTTGATGCTAAAGAGATTGCGAGTAAATTAGAAATTGAACCAATATTTCGTGAAAAACGGGTAATACATAGAAAGAAACAGTTTGATGAGACTTCTTATGAAGATATAACACAAACAGCTGAAGAATCTTTTAAGATCAATTATTTCATATATATATAGTAGATCAAGCTCTATCATCACTTCAGAATAGATTTGAGCAATTTCAAAAGTATGATGATATTTTTGGATTTTTATTTGATTTGAGAAGATTTAAATCTATTGATGATGATAGTTTGAAGTATTCTTACATTAACATTGAGAATTATTTGAAACATAATATGATTTCTGATATTGACGAGGTAGAATTATTTTCTGAATTGAAAGTTTTAAGGGAAGAGATATCTGCAAAAATTATTGGAGCAATTGATGTGTAGGATTACATTAAGAAAATGAGTTGATGATTTGCAAATATTTGGATTGCTTATGGAGTATTATTAATTATTTGATTATTTCTGTTACAATTGTCTCTGCTGAAAGAAGATTTCTAAAGTTGAAGTCGATTAAGTTTTAACTTTGATTAACCATGTCACAAGAGCGGTTGGATGAATTACATATGATTTCCATTGGAAAAAAATATGTTGGAAAAACTTGATTTTAATAGTTTGATTACTGATTTTACATCTCAAAATGTGAAAATGTTAAATCTTATGTTAGCTTAATCTCTCGGGTTTAATTTATTACTCTATCTTTCGAATTATATAAAGTTTTCTTTTTAATATAAAAGTGTTAATTATTTAAATATTTAAATTTTGTTACACTTGTGAAAAAATGATTATGTTGAATGGCCCCATAATAATTCTCGGGATCGGCCCTACAAGGCCTCTAAATTCTCATGATCAGCCCTACATGACTCAAGGTCGATGGTCAAAGAATGAGCAAGGAAAGAACAAGCATAGAAAGGTTTATGTTTGGTATTGATAAAAATTCAAATTTTAATTTACGTCAAAGTCAATGATCAATTTTAAACGCACATTTTATGGGTCAATGATCAATTTTAAACACACATTTTATGGATCCAACAACTTTTCAATCATACATTTCATTATTTTTTATCAAAATTTACTAAAAATTTGATTTTAAAGCCCACCAAACAGGAGTAGAAACTAATTGTGAGGCCAATTATAGTTATGTGGATGTTCAAGGACTCGAGTTTAGGGGCCACTTTGGATCCTCTTTGGAATTTTCAATTTCTTGTTTGAATTCAATCAAAAATGAAGATTATATGGATCCCTATCCAAGATTGAGAATTGCTAGAGTTCAGTGATCTCGCTGATTGCATCAACTATGCTTCAGAATGGGAGGTCTATGGGGTGGAAGGGGGGCCTGTGAAAGAAAGAATAATAGCCATCAGTCTCGACAGAAGAGAGAGGATAAAATTAACAAGAAAAGCCGATGGAAGAAAATCTATTTTCATTAAGGCCCTGTTTGGGAGAAATTTTAATCAGAATTTTAATCAAAAATCTAGCAGTTAACTATCAAATCAGCCACCATTTTTGACATTCCCTCTCACATGTAGAGCCCACGGGTTGACTTTAACGGCTATAGTTTTGATTAAAATCCCACAATAATTTCTCCCAAACACACTCTAAAGATGTTATTTTGTTCATTAATAATCTTGTAGATAATGGTTTTAAAAACTCAATTTACTTAATACATTATAAATGATTAGGAAATTTTTTCACAATTCACGAAAATGTTATATATCTATCTTCCTTAATGCTACCAATTTATCCAATCCAGTATACTAAACAGAACAACATCATGCACTCGTATATTCAATTATGCACACGGTTTACTATTCTTAGGAGTGCTTGATTAGAAGGTTGCAAATGGGAACCAAGAAGAGAGAATTGGCTAGAGTTGTATTAGTGGAAAATTACATTACGTTTCCATGTGAGGAAACACGAGCGATAAGAAGGCATTTATTACTTAGTTTAAGCTATAAGATTGTCTAGAAAAAATAACTTATATTGTCCCATTTTTGTTATCTACGGTAAAATCATCCTCCACAACATTAACGAAATGCCAGCTAAAAGCAAAGGCATTGATGGGGAGTTCAATAGGCGCAGGAGCAAATGCAGACCACATTCAATCAAAGATCATGAGTCATATGACCCTGGCTATTTATTTCCCAGGCTGTAAGTGCCAAATACCTGCCTACACATGAAGATGGTGCCTACTTTACTAGTACAACTACAACTGTAAAGTTTTAACAAAAATCCTACATGTACAAAAATTATTTGACAAAAAAGTTGAGCTGGCCCCACATGAATAAAAAAAAATTTGGAAAAATGTGGCCCCCCCCCCCCCCCCCCCNTCTCTAACTTCAACAGCTAATTCTAACTTGCTCAACCCCCTACGATTATGGTATATACTGCGCAGCAGTGTGTAATCCACCTGCCATCAGTTTGTAGGTGCATGTTCACTTTCCGGTACAGTACCGGCCAGGGGCGGAGCCAGCCCTTCAAATTAGGGGGGTCCCGGAGTTGAAGGGGCGGGGGCCCACGGGCTGCCCCTGAAATTTTTTTTTAAAACATTATCTGTTAAAATTAGGAAAGTTGGTACTTTGTGATGGAGAAATGAACATAAATTAATGTACAAAGACTTCACAAAAAAATCAAGAAACATATAAAAGAAACTACTAATCTTTTGAAATACTTCTTCACCACCACTGAGCCTGAGGATTGAGGAAACTCTTTCACTCATAATTGATAAACAATACAACTTCACAAACAACTGAATGGACTGAAAAAAAACATTTGAGGCAGGACCCCCCCTCCCCTCCGCCCCTGGTACCGGCAACCCAAATGCTGGTGTTTCCAGCAATGAACAGGGCCAGATTACTGGGTTCTTATTTCTACGACTCTTTAACGCGGCCATAATTTTGAATGATGAGTGCAAATTAGAAAGCAGTTAAGAGACGAGAAGCAATTCAAAAATGCAGTTGCTCCAGCGCAAGACTGCCAGTAAAGAGAATGGCCCTAGAGAGCTTAAGCAAATAGTTTAGAGTCTATGCACGGGAAGGAGAGGAGAGCACGTGCTTATTCTGTTGTGGGAGGTCAATCAATTCCTAATTGACAGCCATGTCGAATAAGATAGATGATTAATTTAATTTCTGCTCCACCTATTCCTATTCGATAATCATAGTCAGCCTATAGAGAGAGAATCAATCACGACACATATTTCCATCAAATCCAGAACCTGATGACAAATAAATTCTAATTGCCCAAAAGCCACAAGCAGAAGGTATGTTAGAGTTGAGTTAATTAGTATAGAATTCACAAAACCAACAGGTCAAATAAAAGCATAATACTGATGGATTCCTTTGTCAAATACAACAAATCATGAATGCCACCCAAACAAAGCTTGGGACAACATTATTCTTTAGAGAAGAAATGAAAAACAGAAAATCACAATGCCATGGAGATAAAACCTTCTAAATTGGTGATCAATAGAGAAGCAGACTATATAAGCATCATTTGAATTTGAAAAAGAAGAGTAAGATAAAGCAGAGCAAGATGCAATGCCTAAAGCACAAAAACAATCTACTCGTTATCCGGCTTTGGTGCTTCCTTTATCTCCTCTGAACCATCATCCTGCATAAAAAATAATCAACACTCTTAATCAGTTATTAATTCCAATAAAAGGGATGGAAGAACTCCATAAAGAACAGAACAGAAAAGTTTACCTGCATGTCCGAAGTCCATAAAGTGAGGTTATCACGGAGAAGCTGCATTATCAAAGTGCTATCTTTGTACGACTCCTCCCCAAGAGAATCCAACTCCGCAATCGCCTCATCAAAAGCCTTAAGACAGTGCAGGAAGCAAACATTAGCCAAGACTTATATTGTTACTATCAACTGGTAGAAACCCTAATGAATTTAATAACTAGACCAGTCATAGAGATGCCCAATTATTTCAATCAGATCTTTACACATTTCTGCACTAATATTTAGACTAGGCATCGTACTACATGATACTTAAGAGGGATTCGAGATAGAATGTTTGATTTCTAGCAGACCTGTTTAGCAAGATTACAAGCAAGATCAGGAGAATTCAGAATCTCGTAGTAAAACACTGAGAAGTTGAGTGCCAGCCCAAGCCGGATGGGATGTGTTGGAGCCAGCTCTGCATTTGCAATATCCTGCGAACAACAAAATAAATGTATGTAGTAAATAAGTTCACAAATCAACACATAAAATTTAAGGTTAGCATCTACCTTTATTCAACTACTGCAAGGAAACCATCAAGAATTAATAAATGCTTCTCATAAAAATGAACTGAACTCCATGAACCATGCTTATAACCTCTAGATCACAGTAAAATTAAAAATAAAATGAAGCTTCTTCGTTACATTTGCATTAAAATGCTCCATGATGATCTCAAAACGCATACTCCATTAACATACTCACATTTCAATGCTATCTCTTGTCCCTATTACATTGTATGCAACCAAAAATTGCCAAGTACCTTTCATAGATCGAACAAAATGGAGAAAAATAATACTATTTCCTCTTCAATACTTCAGAATGGACAAGAATATTTCGATATTTCAAACTTTCAGTTGTTCATTATAAGCTTTAAACTCCAGATCATTAAATAAAGAGATCATAAAACGTAAATCATCTGCTCCAATTATAACTTCTCATATTTATCTTGTACCGTCAAAAATGAAGTAAAATAAAACGTATTACTAAAAACTGTAGGGGAAAAAAAAAATCAACGCCTCTAACCTGAGCAGACTTGTAAGACGAGAGAGTATTTTCGGCGGCTTCTTTCCTCTCCACTCCAGTCTTGAACTCTGCCAAATAACGATAATAATCCCCCTTCATCTTCAGATAAAACACCTTAGAGTCCCCAGAGGAAGCCGATCCAATGAGCTTGGAGTCGAGGAGTTTCAAAATGCCATCGCAAATTGAGGAGAGCTCTGACTCGATCTTGGATCTGTAGCCTTTAATAGTGGAAACATGACCTTCGTTGCCGCGGCTCTCCTCTTTTTGCTCGATTGATGAAATGATTCTCCAGGAGGCCCGCCGGGAGCCGATCACGTTCTTGTATGCTACCGAGAGGAGGTTGCGCTCCTCCACCGTGAGCTCGTCGCCTTCCACAGCTGTCACCACCTTCTCCATGTATTCCACCATCTCTTCGTACCGCTCGGCTTGCTCCGCCAGCTTTGCCATGTACACGTTCTCCTCGCGGTTGGAAGCCATCGAATTCAACGAGAGAGCGACTTTCAGAGAGAGATGATAGTTTTTTAGAGGGAGAATTTGTGTGTTGACGAAATAGCGGTTTTTGGGTTCTATTTAATATTTATAATATTTATATATTATTTACTTACTCGTTTTCAATTCTATGCGGAGTTGGTAACACATAGGGCTGACCGGGGAACGCGGTTCGATTTGAACGATTTTGTCGTATTTTCAATTCAAATTATTTTATGCGATTTGTAATTTTTTTTCAAATCAAATCAAACCATTTTATTTCTCAAATCATCCGCAGTTTACATATCGATATTATAGTAATATTTTTAAAATAAATTAATATATAAGTTTAAACGATAACTAATAATATTAAATGTTAAATTATATTCAAAATACAAATAAAAATGCAATGGCAAATTAACATATAGCGACATTAACTTTATTCTATCCACCTCTAAATAATCAACTTGACTTGACTTCACTTGCACGTGAGATGGCATGGTTAGGTATAAATATAAACAAATAAATTTATTCTAACTCTAAATAAAAATATAATAAGTTTTTGAGAAAATTGCATATTTATGGTCCCCGTTCTATTATCTAAGCTGGAAGTTGGTCTACAACTTTTCATTATTATTGCATAATCATCCCTAACAATTAATGTAAAGCGCCCTAATCTTTGTTAAGTTATTACATGATGATTTATAAGTTCTAACAACGAATATTTCACCATATCCCATCCCAATTCATTTCTCTCACCTCACAATCTCACACACAAACATTTGCGGCATATAAAAGTGTTACGGAACTTTGTAGAGAAAGATTAAACAAACCCTGTCAAAAGCAAAATCTCTTGAGAAAATCTGAAAGTGTAACCGCAATATAACGAGCATTACATGCATGAAAAATCCCGAAACTAGGATGAGAAAATAACATTTTACAGTTACATTTATTGGGGGTTTTTTTTCTCTAAAAACTGTAAATTTTATAATTTAATAAATTTAATTTTTCAATTAAAAAAAGTTTGGTTCGATTTGATTTTGTGCGATTTTTTTAAAATCGAAACCTAAATAAACCATTTTAAAACAATTTGGTTCTGTTAGAGGGAAAAAAACCACAGGTCCATATGGATCCAAACCAACGGGTTCAGTTCGATTTGCAATTCTATGATTTTTTGCGTAGATCTAATAACATGGATTAGGGCCTAGGGGTCGATCAAACTCCCGAACCGAATTGGATCCAACCAAGCAGTTCGTATCAATTCTTATTAAAGTTAAAGGCTAAGCCAATATTCGGCGAAGATTAAAATTAGATTTTTAATAGATTTTGATAAAAATTGATGAATGTATGGTTAAAAAGTTCTGGGACCCATGAAATACCTATCAAACGGGGGCTAAATATTTCACATAACATTTTTTAATAATTATATTGTATTTTAATTATTTGTAAGTTCATAGAATGTTACACACTATCACATTTATGTCTCGAACTTTTTTCATGATATTTTTATTCTCAAATTAATATAAATTATTCCTGATTATGATTTATCTCCAAAATATTTTTTAAAATAGAGTAAAAAAACTCATTTGCCTATTATATTTTTAAATAAGGAAAACAAATAATATTGTAAAATGCAATTAAATATTTGACCCTAGTTTTAAAGCACGTTAACAATATTTTTGAACGAAAAAATGATTAAGGACAAATTTGTTAGCCCAAGAATAACTAACCAAGAGGGGGGTGAATTGGTTATTGAAACTTTTTCGTTAATTACTCAAGATTCTAATATAGTGAATGCGCAAATATTCTAAACACAAGTAAACGCGTAAATAGAACAATATAAGTTAGTGCGAAGTAAATGCGTTAAGTAAAAGGGATAGAAAATACAAACGATAT